AATGGAGTTACACTTGGGAGTGTCCCATTTGCAGTCTGGGAATGCCAGTCTTCCATTAGTCGTTACTACATGGACTGGATTTCTGTGCAACCACCCAAGGTTGTGTTCTGTATGAGCACAGGATTCTGTTAATAACATCAAAGCAGGCTGGCTTGAATGGTTGCACAAACCCAGCTTTATCTGGCCTGCTAGGTACAGACACCTGTGACCAGCAACCGCAGCGAGCTTCATACTGCAAAATACATGATGTGGACATGCAGCCTGAAAATGCAGTTCCCCACCATGTTGTAGTACATATGCCAGTAGGTAACATGGATGTACCCAGTCCGGGGCGTTTCCACACGCTTCACCTCTGTTTATATTCATTAATCTCTTCCTCCTAATTTTGCTGGGTTCCTTAATTGGAGGCATGTGTATAGTTCTAGTGTCTTACGGACCAAGGAAACTGTGTGAATTTGGCATGTTTCTGGTTAAATTCAGCCTTCATTAGAAGAGCCCCAACACCACCTCCCCCCAAAACTTCAAACTAAAAACCAAAACAAAACACAAGCAAAAACAACAACACAAAAAGAAGCCAAAAAACAAAATTGGACTTAGTTTTTCAGATTATTAATATTTTCACACTTGGTTTTACTGTAATCAGTTAAATAAGACTTATCTTCACACTGGCAATAATTTCCTCTTTTACATTAAATATACTTAAGAAATGGCAGTTGGTTTTAATAAAACACTTCTCAAAGGCTTTTCCAAATGTCAGTTTATTCATATTAATCTTCTGTATGCATTTTTTTCAGAGGCTGGCTGTCGGAGTTCTGGCAGAAAATGGTTTGACACTGGAAGAATGGCTGCCTTCAGCATGGATTACAGACACTGTGCCTCGTCGGTGCCCATTTGTGCCACAGATGGGGGATGAGGTATTGTCAATTTTTCATCTCTGTATTTTGATGTTTTCAGCTTGTTTTTGCCTTTCTTATTTTCATCTGTGCATTTTTTTTCCCAGAGATTTGTTATCAGAATATTTTGGATTTTTTCAAAACATTATTTAATCTAGCCAAAATTTGGTTTTGCTACCTTTAGTCTTTCTTTCCAATATTTAAATACTCTGCAAGGCGTTGATTTGACTGTTTTTTAATACCATGCTGTTGTAGTAACATTCCTTTTTGTGCTGTATTCAGCATGCTGATTTCCCTGTGATACCTGCACAGAAGCTGGGTGAGGTGCTTTATCTAGTGAACCTAGTCTTTAGCTCTAGAGCATCTTGTATGCTGAAGAATAGGTAAGAAATCAAATACAAATTTAAGTTGTTTGGAAAACTTCAGTTTAGGACTTGAAACGAAAACCAGGAATTAAACTTCTAGGGGGAGGGTGGTAGTTTGTGGTGGGTTTTTTGCTTGCTGTTTTTTTAATCCATTTATTGTGAAGAAAAACACTGGTATTGTCCTTTTCACAAGTTTCTGATACCAGAAAACTTCTGCTGGTCTCTTACAGCAGAAAACCACATGAGAAGTTTTGTATATATGTGTTTTATATGAAGTGGGCTGTAAAACATTGTAAACATGGCCCAGATGTCTCAAAATACAGTAGCAAAGGGATACACCAGTTTCTACTTTGGAATATATATAGCGTATGAACATTACAGTGAACTGTGTGAATAAGGAGTATCAGATAGAAGAAGTCTTGAAAACCAGATTCTGTGCGTGTTTCCTAAAATCCCCTCAGGTTAAAATAAGGGGAAATAGCTGCCTTGTGCTGTCATGTGTAGTCTTTTGGCTCTTCAGGGAGTGGCGCGTTTCTGAGGCACTAAGCAGAGCTCTTGTATAGCTTACACCCTCAGAATGCCGTTGGAGAAGCAGCTGACATGATGGCAAACTTGTTTCGCTTCAGTCCTGATCTAGAGCTGTTTGTGGGCACCACCTTAGAAACTGAATCAGGAACAGAGGTTGCATGTGCAAGCCGTGTGGTTTTTAATGGACTGCTTCACTGATGCAGTTCACAGCACAGCTCTGCAAAAATTACCCCAGCATTGCTAGGGAGGGAAGGAGAACTTCAGGTTGAGAATTGCAACTGGAGAGAGTGCTTATGTATTTATATCCTCCAGCAAGCATGTTTTGGAGACTGTGCTGTTCAAAATATCAAGTCCAAGTAAATATATTTGGTGCCTGATACCATCTGGATACAGTGAAGCAGCCAAGGATTTATCTGTACCTTGTTACTTGGGAGACTTTAGCATCGTATCAGTTTAGTAAGATAAACCCCTGTGTTTGGTTTGGCACCTGCTGAATATAGCATGTGCAGTGTGTACTAGGAATATCTAAGTAGGCTGCATCCTTTTGCTGAAAAGTGCTTTATATTGGAAAATTTCCTCTCCTGTGCCTAGAAAGTAGTAGCTGCACCAATAGACAGTACATTTGTAAACAAATTACTCTGCCTGCAGTTCCATCTCTGATCCTTGCCCTCCCCAGATTTAAGGCGTGAAAAGCTATTCATCTAGAAAGTTACTTTTGAGATCAACAGAAATAAGATCAATTTAATTAGAGAAATAGGATCTGAAGAGGTCTCGTGTGGCCTTGGAACATTTTGGTGGTATGTTTTATAAGATATGGGAGGAGAGGTATTTCAAATTTGTTCTCCTACAGCTGCACAAACAAGTAAGACAAAACAGTAGTGCTATATTTAGTTTTACTCAGTGCATAAGAATAGCACATACCATCCCTTTTCCCTTTCTGAATACTGCCATTTACAGACATTTGTCGTGTCTTGAGGAACAGTGAAAGCAAACCAGAGGGATGGGACTGCAATTTCACTGTCTGATTATCAAAATACAATCCATATTCATTGGAGTATTCTGCCATTAACATGATAAAGAACAGTTTTGTCTGGGTACTACAACAAACAAGCACAAGCCAGAATTTATCAAGATTAAAAATAAAATTTCCTGGGAAAAGGCATAAATTCTTTTTTCCACAGATATCTTTCTGATTTGTTCTTTTGACAGAAGATGTAATGCTTAGAGCCATTTATAAAATAAAAATGTTTCACTTCTGCAAACAGTAGGTTGAATTTATTAGGTTTAGCAGAAACAGTAAGTGTAGGAGAAGTTGTTTGTAGCCTGTGCCACTAAGTGTGTGTTTTGGTTTTTTTTGTTTGTTTGGTTTTTTTTATTAAAAAACGGAAAGCAGTTGTCACAGCATTGAAAACATAACTTAAGTTAGCATTATTTTAGATCTGTCTCTCAGTAGCCTCTGGTCCTTTCCCTGCCAGGTAGATTCTGACAGTGATAGGAGATTCTTACTGCTTTTAAGCCCTCTGTAACTACTGTGCGTCTTTTCCCCTATGTCAATATTGTGCAAGTCAAACAGTCTGAAAAACAAGAGTTGAAAAAAAAATTGTGATGCTGAGTCCTTCTCCATTTTAAAAACAAAAACAAAAAAACCACCCCTCATGTGACAGTAAGAAAGTTCAATAACTGTTAACATAGGAACTTGGCAGATACTTGGTTTTGATGTTTTATGATACAACAGTTTTGGAAAGCGTGTGGAAATACAAATATTAGTGTGTTTATTTTTATAAATGATTTTTAAAACTTGCCGAGGGCTTTTCACTCTTGCTTTTTTTGTATGTTAGACCTTTACATTTAAACTATTGTTCCCTCATTCTGCTTGATGGGAGGTCCCATGTTTATGGCTTTGGGCACTTCTGGAGGGTTTTTTAAATTTGGAATGCATCATACCTGGAATACAGCTGTTTATTAGATCTTCCTTCTAATTAGTTTCAGGACCCTCTGTTTCACACTTCAGATACATTCCTTGACTGTATTTAAGATTTCCAGTTCACTATTTCATTACAGGCATGTTTTAGAACAAAAAAATTCATCCACATGGTATATACAAAAGGATCCAAGTAGAACTTAGACTCCAGATGTAGAAACCATGGAAATTTATAGTGTAAGCATTAGAAAAATTTTAATAAGCACTTGAAATTCTGTTTTCATATTCATGTTTCAGTTTGTCCATGTCTTTAAGTTGCTTGTTTGGTGGTATGGATGTAAACATGAGAATCATACCAGAACAATAACAAATTGCTGAGTTTTCCTTCTAGAGGAAGGAGGAGGAGGACAAAGATTTCTTGTTCAAAAAGATATGATTAGCAGATAGTGAATTTAGTGATACTTGATTGTCCTACAGTGATGAATAACCAGGTGGAGCAGTGCAATTCATGTTGCTGTCATTGAATTGTTCTGTAGTGCGAAATAGATGGTTTTGTTACTGCTTTGTTTTAGTCTCACGTGTAATTCAGGATATTTTGCTCATCAGGGCAATGGTGTTCTAAGTCTTTCCTACTTTTTCTTTAAGTGTTTCTGTGATAACTGCTTTAATTGTCCACCATTTAATTTTTTTGAGAACTTGTGACTTTTGCAGGCAGGCAAAGTGGCAAAAGGTTGATCATAAAATAGAAAGTGCACACGTTATGTGGCAGTGGTACACTCACATTTCATCTCCTCCAAGTCTTTGTTAGATAACTGTCACATTCCACTTTTAGGTCTACTATTTCCGACAAGGTCATGAAGCATATGTTGTAATGGCCAAGAAGAACAAAATATATAGCATTAATCCCAAGAAACAGCCATGGCATAAAATGGAATTACGGGTATGACTTCTTTATTTTTGTTTATATCTTAATATTAAAAAATGTTTGGAAACTAACTGAAAGAAGATTATTGATACAGATGTTTCTAATGTGCTCTTAGTGCAAAGAGAAAAAGTTAACTTAATAGTTAAACAAAATCAGGCCTTAAACTGTAATTCTTTTTGCATCTGCTTGAGCAGATGAGGTGGTTATGCTTTGATTACATTGTGAGAAACAGATTACATTGTGAAATAATATCTTGAAAAACCTAAATTTCAGATACTTGATTTTGACATATTCTGGCACAAATTTTTATTTTTTTTTTTTTCCCCCAGTATGCCTGTATTTTAATGTTTCAGAAGTTATTTTAGTCATCTGAACTTCAGTGGTGGTACATAACATTTTCTTTATTCCAGGAACAAGAGCTGATGAAAATAGTTGGAATTAAGTATGAAGTGGGCTTGCCTACTCTCTGCTGTCTTAAACTAGCTTTTCTTGACCCTGATACGGGTAAACTAACTGGAGGATCGTTCACCATGAAGTAAGGAAAGCAATATTATGTCCAAATTGGGGCTTTCTTGCAGGGGAGTGCCTGGGAGGTGAGGTTGAAGGGGAAAAGATAACATAATGTCGTGACTTGAGCTTTTGTTTTTTGAAGTGCTGAATTCAAAGTGTTAATTTGTTATGTAAAGGCTCTACTTGATACTTTTGCTGTTCTGTTGCTTAATAGTTGTGTGTTCTGTTGTGATTAGGTACCACGATATGCCAGACGTCATTGACTTCCTAGTTCTGAGGCAGCAGTTTGATGATGCGAAACACAGGCGATGGAATATAGGTGAGTGTTGGGGAGTTTTTTGGTGTGGTTGGTTGGTTGTTCTTCTAAGTGTCTACCTATTTTCATGATAACTTATTAAAAAGTAGGTTATGATGCTGAAATTGGAGAATAAGCTCTCTGTATTTGGATGTGGAGTCCTACTTTGTCCTTGACTGAAGCTATAGCATGCAAACAAAGCACTGAAGGTGATCTGTAAGAAGTGCAAAGAAAGTATCAGTTTCGTGTTTGCAAAGAGGAATCAAGAATTCTTTTTAGAAATACAATGTTTATTATATTGCTTATCGTTCTTTTTCCTTTTTGGAGCGAAGGCCTGCTTACAGCTGCATTGCTTCTAGAATGATTTATTTTATTTCTTGAGGAATTAAATTTCTTTTCTTTTTTTTTTTTTTTAATTTCTGGAATTTCTTCTGGAAATACAGAAGCACGTTCGCCACCATTTGAAATTTATGATCTCTAGACTGTACAAAGAGAATGCCCTTCCCATTTCTTTATACTTCTTTGAATTCTGTTCTAAACCCCATATGGTTTAGCTTCACTGAAGTGCATATAACTATAATTCACTCCTGTGTGATGTGGGAATGTTTTGGATTCATTTTACTTTTCCTGTGCTTAGTTATTTCGAAGTGATTATACTGGAGAATGACCATGACAGGAATGTCCTCCAGTCCTATCTGTTTTCTTTCCATATTATAACAAAAGATCACCTTTCAACAATGAAATCTAACTAAGGGGAGGGAAAGCTGCATTATGACAAAATGATCCCCTAAGATCTTGGTTTTCTTTCAGAAGGTCAGGAAATGCATATATTCTCATTCATAAGAACAGCCTTATATTGCCCCTGAAACTTAACAGTTTAAGCAAGTATTACTGATTCTTCAGAGCTGAGGATGAACTTTGTTGCCTTGAGAGAAATCTGTATACAATACTATGTTTACAGAATTATAGGCACTGTTAAGTCCTTTCCAGTATCTGAGTATGTTCTGTGAAGTGGTATGCTCCTGAAAGTGAAATGTGGATAGCCTTTTTTTTCTAAAGCAGGCCTTAATATTAAACTCATTCTGTGGTCACACTAAACTCCTGTGGTTTTTCCATTCAGGAGCCATTGCTAGCATGTACACAGCTGACTTGCCAGAGTTTCTTGCCACTTCAGGCAAAGCATCATACAGGACAACAGACAATTTTAATAAAAGAATGTGATGGTATATCTGATTGCCTATGTCGAAACAACTGACAAGACATACATTTCTGCAAATGTGCTGCTTCCTTAGTCTGTATTTGCTGTTTTCAAAGTGCTGTCTGTCCTCTCCTAAGTTCATTGTAGCTAAGTATCCTGAAGAGGTGGCACAGCTGCATGTTTAAAAGCTCTTTATTTATTGTTTCTTACCTGTTTTTTCTGCCAGGAAAGATAAATAGATCTCTTGTCCGTTGATGTAACCATGATATCCCTGCTTTTAGGATGTGTTCCTTAGCAGTAGATGTATAAATTACATGATGGCATATTAGTAAGTTGCATATCATGTCATACTTCACATTATGTTGTCCAAAAAAGTCTTCAGTTCTGTAGGGAACTTGGTAAAGACCCAAGACTTCTGATTCCATAGGATTTCTTTAAAGATCATTTCATTTTAAAGGTCCCTCAAAAGACAAGACTGGTCAGCATCTACCAATACATCACCAAGCTTTGCTCTTTTCTGATGCTTGTGGGTCTGTGGTCTTGTCCTGCCATGCCTACGTGTTTTTTGCACAAGGTCCTGGCAGCAGCAGAAGAATGACTGCCATACCTTGTATGCGAACAGCCCAGCCAGAAGCCATCTGTCAGCCGTTGTGATAGGAATCCAGGGGTAGAGGAGGGTCTTGTAAATATTAGCATTTATTCTGTTAAGAATACCAGCACAGGTAGTATCTCCTTCCTTCTCAAAACTGTATTTTGAGAAACTTGCAATGTGGAAAGAATCAGAGCTACCTAAAAAGTATTGGAAATGCCATAACCTTTATCACGCCTTCAATGTGTAAAGAATGTAAGTTTCAGGCCAGCAGCACCTAATACCACCTTGTAACTCTGACAAGTGTGTGTTAGAGTTCATTCTTCAGTTCTTCTTGTGTGGGTGGTAAAAATAGTCTCCTTCTTTGAGACCCTATGAAATGCTAAAGCAAAGATAGCAAAGACATTGCTGTTAAAACGGTTACAGCTCTTCCAGGAGCCTTTCAGAGTGCTACCCAGCTCTCTGTGTTGTCATTTCAGGTATTTTACGAGTGTGTACTTATGTACTTGGAAGAAATCAGGCACTGTTCCATGGCAGTGTGGAACACAATACAAAAATGTTCCTTGAAAGTAGATCATATTTTCTACCAGGATAAGGAGAAATGCCTTAGAACTGTACATTAAACTGTTTCCTGACTAACCATATGACCCTGAAATCTCCAAGATTTATGTGACATGCTCAAGTCTTCTGTACTTGATCTCCATAGCTCTTCATCAATAAACTGGTACTGCTTTCATGTCATGCAGTGATCTAACTTCTCAGGACTACTTTGCTACCTTTTCTTATTCCTTGATGATTTGTGGCACTCAGCCTCCAAACTGATATTTTCATATCTACTATTTGGACAATCATTGGATATTAAATCTTCTAACTCCACTTTAAGTCTTTAAAAGGTTGATCTTTTAACAAATAATAATCCTTGGTGTTTGGGTGGGGGCTTTTGGTATTTTTCTTTGGTGTGTTCTTGTTGTCTGGGTTTTGTTTGTTTTAGGGAAGAATGTTTGCTTAACTATGATATTTTGATTTTTTAAAATTAGGTGTATGTTAATGTATGATTCCTTTCAGAAGCAACAAGCTTAGAATGTTTGAGAAGCAACAGGTTCCTATTTCTATTCAGATTATATTTATGGCAGATCTTTTTGGTTTGCTATAGTTTAACTACAAGATTAGTACTTGAGCTAAAAGCTACTCCAGCAGGATTCCTGCAGCTTTAGTTGTATGTCTTAGGTGTGTACACCTGTCTAAGACATAGCAACCACTTCAAGTTCAGCATGAATGTGATATTTTCATCAAGCCAACATAATCTGGTGATACACAGTTCTGGAAAATGACGCTAAATCCTTCTAACAAGCATTTTTTGTCTTCTGTCTGCCTAGATGAGATAACACAGAGGACATTGGGAAAAGAGTGATTTAAGAGATTGTTTTGTGTGTGTTTCCAGTCATGTTGTTTTCTGCTTTAGCGTTCTGTCCACGGGAATGCTGTGGCTCTTGAGAAATAGGAAGCGGCTGCCAGCATATGCTCCTTTAAGTGGTTTTGATACTGCCCATGAAGGCACTCACAGTTGTACCTACACACATTTATTTGTCAAAGGGATCACTAGGGAATGCCCTCTTGGGAGACTGTACTTTAAGAGCTCTTCAGAATAATTTATTCCTTTAAAATCACGCATCAGCCCTATTTACATTTTTCATCTTGCTTTTCAGATATTTCTGGTACACTTGGTTCAGCACAATTAGGACTATTGGAAGCTTTGTAATTGTTTTAGAATTACTTGAAATCCAATAAATTAAAAAAAAAGTGTAGAAAAAAAAGTAGAACATTTTTTGAGAATATATTTATTTCCTATTAATTCAGACAGCTCCAGCAAGCATTTGGGAAGAGTGAGGATGTATTAAAATAGAAGAAACATTGCAGCAGTTGAGAATGTGTGTGTATACTCAAATCCCGTGAAAACAAAACTATGCAGTTCTTGGAATCTCAACCTTAAATTGCTTTTGTTCTTGTATTGAACAAACTGACTACTTCACTAAAAATTGTTTCTAAGTTCTGTGGCATATGTTACAGAAAATGTTAGAATTTATTATGGTGTGTAATACACATACTCTCACATGTAATTTTTTTTAATAACACTTTTGACCTTTTTTTCTCAGCTGGGCAAATGCTTTTCAGTAGTGAAACCATTTCCATTCACAGTAAATTACTTTGCTAACCTTTTAAAGAAGCTTAAATAAATTTTGTTCTTTTATCAGTTGGACTGCCTACATAATAAAGGGAATGAATCTCTGAGTTACATTTGGGTAGCTAAAAAAGCACTTTAGAAATGGAGGAGCAGCTCAGCAGAATGTAAAATATTTCTTATACAAAAATGTCAGAGTACACAGTTATTTTAAGAGAGCGTGTAGTGTTTAATGCAAGTAGATTTGAGTCTTAAAGTTGTAGCATTGAAATGGCTTGCCCTTTGTACGAAATTAAGAAATAAATTTATATCTGAAGAATACGTAAATAGATTTGCGAATCTTTTTTTTAATCCTGTGTTAACTTTCATTTTGGTTTAAAAGCAGTCTTTAGAAAAAAAATATTTTTTTGAAAAAACTACAGTTAATATTTGCCTGTTGACACTACAAGTATTCAAAAGGATTTCTGTATTCAAGATCAAGCTAAAGGTAACTAAAACCTGCTTTTCTTGGACGGTGTCAGGTGCCTTGTATTGATGAAATTGTTTTTTTGTTCTTACCTAGGTGATCGTTTCAGGTCAGTGATAGATGATGCTTGGTGGTTTGGAACAATTGAAAGCCAGGAACCTCTTCAGCCTGATTATCCTGATAGCTTATTTCAGTGCTACAATGTCTGGTCAGCAAACTTCTCTTCAACCTTTTACCCTAATTATTTAATTTGAAGTACTGACTGAGCCACTTGCTTTCATGAAGTTCAGTCATGTATCTCTGTAACAGTTTGTTACAATAATCTGTGGTATAAATTATGTTACAAAGTTTAAATAATTACATTGTTGAAGCAGTATTTAATAGATAATTTAAATGTGGTTGTTTTTAAGCTGGGACAATGGTGATACTGAGAAGATGAGCCCTTGGGACATGGAACTGATACCAAGTAATGGTATGCTACATTAATAGTATCATTTGCTTTAACAGTGTATGTAAAGAAGAAAAAAAAAAAGTTGCATGGTTTTACCTAAATAATCCTCTTTTTCTGGGGGAGTGAGAGGAGGGCCCACAAACCAGTTGCATTTGAAGAACATCCTCACACTAATTACTAAGCTAAAAGGGGATCAAGGTAAATGAATTGCAAAAAAGCTCAGGGCCGTACTTAGACAAACTAACTGTGAGTTAGAAATAGAAATGTCACAAAACCTTGTAACAGCTGATGCACAGCTACAGTTAATGCTTTGTACAGTTAGGGAGAACTGAAGATAAACCTGTGCCCTGTGTCATCTTTGAGGAAACCAACTGCTCAGAGACCTGTCAGTGTGCCAGCAGATGTTCAGTGCATTGAAGATGGAACAGATGCCTGTGAGGTGATTTGATAGCAGCAGGATTTGCTCCCTGTCTGGCCCAGCACGTGTGGCAGATGACACGCTGCAGAAGGGACAGCATAGCATGGCTGCTGCTCGCAGACAAGAATGTAGTATTTCTTCTTTCCTCACATAGGGTTGTTTTTTAAATTTCATAAAAGTCTGGTTAAAAAAATGAAGTAGAAACAGCCTTTTTTCCTAGTGTTCTATGAGGTGTTTGATAATACCATCACTCATAAGTAAACATAATTCTTAATTCTTCTAAGTTATAAATGTGTTCATTTCGACTTTTCATTTTGGTTCAGCCCTTCTTTTAATGAGTACCTCTTCATTTTATATATCAAATACAGAAGTTAGTGCTCTCATTACTAGAACTAATTAAAACAGGTAAAACTTTGCATCATGCTCCGAATTTCTACTGTTACATTATGAATTGTCAAAGTTGGTAGGTCCTCAAGAATGCCAGGGTGATGACACTTCCCTTTTCCTTGCTCAGGAGCTCTGGTTTTAGCAGTCAACCTCACAAAACTATGACAAGGTGGAATCACTGCCTGGGAAATGTTTTAATGTCAACATCAAAGTCATTATCTTAAACTCCATTTAAAAATCATGCACCATTCATTACCAAAACCATTTATTAGCAAGAATTGGGTGTTTAAGAAAAAAGCAAAACACAGACTTTAATTGTGATAAAGGAGTCTTAGTTCTTAAATTCTACAATTAGCTATTTGGAGGAGGATTAGTCTTGTTTTCATGGAGGACCTGTATGCTGTACTGCATTATAAGGGTTTAAATTTAGCATACAATATACATAAAGGATATTGGGTGTATCCAAAATATCTTTGAGCAAATCAAGAACTATGCATTTGTTGTGAGTGAAATGATGTTACACATCTTCAAGCTACAGGTATATGTATTACACAAGATACAAGGATTTGTGTTTTATTTAGTTTTCATGTTACATCCTAGCTGTATTTCCAGAGGAACTGGGAACTAGTGTTCCTCTGACAGACGATGAGCGTCGGACACTGCTCTACAAACCTCTGGATGGAGAGTGGGGTTCCAGAACTCGAGATGAGGAGTGTGACAGAGTTATTGCAGGGATAAACCAACTCATGACTCTAGGTAAGCCCTGGATAATATGGGAAACATTTTGTGTGTGTGTGTGTTATGTTTTTCAGGCTGTGCTCATGTGCACTTCTGAAATTGCCAAAATGAATGTGACAAAATACACCTGTTACCACTCTGTTACTTGGATTAAAACTTTCTCATTTAAAATTTAAAATTAAATTGAAATTAAATTCTTACTATAGTCAGTACATATAAACCCTACATTTTCCTATTTTCAGAAGCAACTGTTGCTTCTTGGTGGATAATTTAACACATGCTAGGGGGTTGGGTTTTACATGCTAAAAACAAGTATTTTATTTTTTACTTCAATGACCAGAATCTCTTGTTTGGGTTTAAATTGCAAACGTCCTGATGAACAGAATATTAACTATATTACAGACAGAGAATGGGGAAAAAAAAAAAATCTGTGATTACTTAGAGGATGTATACTTGTGTGTAGATTTTCCCTGTAACAGTCTTTTCTAATTCCCATTTTCTCCCTCACATTGAACAAAATGTTGAGGGAAAAAGTGATTGATTAACTTAGGAAAAGCTGCTCACTGTTTGGTTGCTGAGTAGTTACTCTTTACAGGCAGCTTCTGAGAAGGTAATTGTTAAAATGTTTTAACACACCACTGCAAAGTTTACGTGATCCAAGATGGGTGTCCCAGGTGGAGATTCATCAGAGAAATACAGACTGAATCACAAGTCCTTCGTTTGTTTTGCAATAAGCAAACTGTTTTCTTAGCTTTTGGGAGTAGCAGTAGTCATAATAAGTTGTAGAGGTTTGGGTTTTTTTTTTTTAACTAACTTTTGAAGTCTTGAAGTAAGGTAAGACATTTATATTTCATAAAAGCCAGAAAACTCTTGCTCTCAAAATAATTCTGATACCTAAATGTCTCACATTATGGCTTCTTCGGTGACATACTGCATAAAAATCATCCCTTTGCTTCCCAAAGAAAGGAAATACCCATACATTCTAGTAATGCAAATTACAGAATTGTAATTACTTTCAAGGAAATTATATTTTAGTTGTTTTCACCCTGTGTTCTAAGAGTAATGGGTTTATATTTTGCATTACACTGTAGGGCAAGCTGCTTAGGTTGGGATTTAACTGTAGCCTGTGTGGTGCATATCAGTACAAAGTAGCAGTTGCTAGAACATAAAAGTAAACAACTTTTAGGCGAAGAGCTGTCTGTTTAGCAACAATGTATTTTCTGTTTTTAAAGACTTTTCAGAGAGACTTCAAAGGGTTTTTTGGGTGGGTTTTTTTTATTGTTGTATGTTCCAGTGAGGTATAAAATGTTAGAATGTTTCTAAGCACAGGAGGAAAAAAACAAGTCTGTGCAGGTGCACAGAGACTTCAATTGCTCAGCAGTCTTCTAGCATTATGGTGGGTTGGTTTTAGAAGGCTTCTTTGCTGTGAGGTAGTGACAGGAGACTGTTCTTCTGTGTTATTTTGGGTTTGTTTTTTGTCCATATCTTACTGAGATTGACATAGTCCTGTGGCTTTTACTGTTAGAAATTAATGAATTGCTTTGCTTGAAAATGGGAGAGTGGCAATATGAAAACAGATGAAATGAGCCTCTCTTGTAAATAATACTGAATTGCATGTCTTCGTATATATATAATTTATACATTTAAATGTTTTTTTCTAATGTGTTTATTTTGCATGCATTTGCTGGTTCTCTGAGGAGTGTGATGCTTCATGCACAGAACAAGCAGTCGCTCCATGGTCGTACTTACAGCACGCACCTCAGCAAGGACTTCTATATGTAGAATATCACAAACTGTTCAGAATATCTAGAGTAGTTGTTATTTTTGGGAAAGCCTTTCAAACATGAAGAAATAGCATACATTGTGTGGGGGTTAAATCTTGAAACTACTAAGAGACTTTTGTGGTATATAACCTGGATTTCTTTTTTTTTTTTCATTCTGTCTAGATATTGCTTCTGCATTTGTGGCACCTGTGGATCTTCAAGCTTACCCAATGTATTGCACTGTTGTGGCATATCCCACAGACCTCAGCACCATTAAACAAAGACTGGAAAGCAGATTTTACAGGTTAGATCCAAGTCTCAGTCCCTGCAGTGAAACGTTGCCACCTGTATCTTTGGTAGCTCTTTGTCTTGTAACACCCAACTGAGAGATGGGACGTGTGTGTGCTTTCCATTTCTCCCATCTTCTATGCTTGATCTAGGTTTCCATTTTCTTCTAAAGCTTTAAAAATGATTGAACATCTCCAAAATGCATTTTAGAATTATGTGACATTCAGATTCTTGCTTAAGCAAATGGGTTCTTCCATGTGAGATTCAAATTGCAGGACCAGAGACTTGGTCAGTAAAATATCTTTTAGTCAAAAGGATTAGGTTTCCAATTTTTGGAAAAAAAAAAAAAAAAAAAAACAAACACCAAACGCAAAACCTATACTTTAGTGTAAAAGAAACCTTAGAAATATGTCAAGTGTTTTTGTCTTAATATACTTATAAAAAAAAAAAGACAAACCATCTTGCATTACCACTTACGCTTCACAAAAGATGGCTTCTTAAATTGTTTGACTTGAAATTCTAAACTGTTGGAAAGCAACAGAAAAAAGTTTTAACTTTTTGACACAGTTTTGGTTTTTTCCTAAACTATCATTGCTATTGCTGGTTTTTGTTGTTTGGTTGTTTGTTTTCTGTAAATATTATCTATATAGATTTATGCTCCTTTAAATTACTTCCGTTTCCTTTCGTTCTTGGGATATTTCTGATTTGAAAAATCAGTGTTCCTCTAACACTTTTTTGAATAAACATAGGTAATGACCAAATTTCAAAGTTAATTTGTAGTACTTTATCCATACTAACTGAAAATTGAATCGTAAATTAAAATTACTCTTTAGTTTAAAAAACACACCATTTTAATACATTCTAATGCAATAATGCAAATTTATTGTTTCTTGTTTATTGTGTGATATAAGGTAACCCGGCTTTCACTTCTATAATGTCCTGCTTTGCAGTCAGAGGTGTTGAGGACTTTCTGCTGAATTTGGCTTCTCTTATCAGAAGAGTAGGCAGTTATTTTTGGTGATCAGCCTACCTTCTTTAGTAAATCTGGTTTTAGTCGTTCGTAGTAATGCCAAGCCCTGGTTAGGTAACAGGCAACCACCTTGTGTGGTGCTTTCCAGTGAATTTTTTTCCTGTTCGTTCTGCAGGAAGGATTGTTCAGATCACTTGGGATTTTGGTAGCTTTTCATGAGGCTTACGCTAAAATACATTTTTCCTTTCTGAACCAGGAATCTTAACATGCTTTTATGCTTCCAAAAAATGCAAAGCTGAACATAAAATTCAGGCTTCTTCCCAGTCACTCCTGGCATTGTATAGAACTAAACTTGGACCCATGAACATGATTAAGTTGCATCTAAAAGCTTATGCCATGCTAAAGATGTTAACTGATCCCCTGCTTCACTCTACAATAAACACTTGTGCGGTGTTTCTTTTCATCACGTTTTGCTAGTGTGAAAATAGAAGATTGTATATATTTGTGATTTCTGTTGTGTCTGAGTTTTTATTTGAAATAGTATGTATTTTTTCAGTGTGTCTTTTTAGATTTAGATCTAATTTTTTCAGTTATTTTTGCTCTTGTTGATCATTTTCCATAATGAGGCTATTCTATAGTTAGGTCAGTAAATCAGATCATTGTCTTATCTGTCAAAAAAAATAAATTTAATAATTTTTAATTGCTACTTTGTTAATCCTCAGCTGTGGCTTGAGGCCATATAAAATGGGTTATGTATATTGTAAAGGAATAATACATAGTGAAGCATCACAGCTGAATTTTCCTGAGTAGTGTCAACTGCCTATTCTTAAAGCCATCTGTGTGACCTGCTGCAGGGCGTGGCGTGAGAGCGGGAAGCCCCAGGAAGGTGCCTTCTGCTTGTCACATAGGGCAGCTCTCCAAGCGTGCAGATTTTCTGATTTAACCTAAGAGAAAGGATGAATGGGATAGTACCTTGGAAGGCTTTTTCTCCTGTTCCATATTTGTTGCTAGAAATGAAGAATGAAGCCTGTCTTTCTTTTTTCTGCGTCTTCCCCTGCCCTATTCCCTCCTTCCATACCCAGGCGCCTCTCATCGCTCATGTGGGAGGTTCGGTACATAGAGCACAACACGCGCACCTTTAACGAACCTGGGAGTCCCATTGTCAAATCTGCCAAGTTTGTCACAGATCTTCTGCTACACTTCATAAAGTGAGTCGCTTAGTAGGTCTGTTGATACTCCTGTCTCCTATCAGGGTATTTTGCTTTTTCAGATCTGAATTTAAAAGTGAGATACTTCTGCAGATTGAATGAGCCTGTTGTCTGCTGCTGGGTCAGAAAAGAATAAAGCTTCTCTCGACAAAAAGTACATGGGTTTGCAAAACAAGATAAAGTTTTATAATTGATTGGCATATATGGGCATGGCATTTTATTTCGAGAGGCTTTCTGCTAACTGATAAATATGGATCTGAGTATCTTCATGAAGTGATAGTTATATTTGTAGATAAGTTAGGAGTTCTGATTTTGAGTTTGAATACTGCTTGTGTTAACATCATTGTGGGCACTTAATTATAAAGTCTTTACAATTTATAATGTGCTTGAAAATAGTGCTTGATACACAAAATAAAAATTAGAGGCTTTGTAGTTGACAGAAAGTTGTCTTTCAAATGTTCCTTTCTCACTGAGTTCTTCTCTAGATAATAAAAAAGTTTCAGATTTCTCAGTCTGTTAATGCAACCATGGATATTCTTATTTAATAATGACCTGTAGCTTGTATCTATGAATATATTCATGTAAGTGAACTAACAATGGTATGAAGCCCAGAACTTTTTCTTTTTAGGATTCTAACTATCGAGTAGAATGTCTAGACCACAGAAAGCAATCCTGTGATTCTAACGAGAGTGAAATACCTAGAAATTTATATATTCTAGAGAATCTGAGGCTTATTCTCTACATTGTTAGGGATTATGATTGCAGTGTAGAGTTGCAGTGGTCTGTATAGCTACATAATAGAACACCTTTGGGCTTTCTTTTGTGTACAAGTATTCTATGTTATACAAGAATTGAAAATTAGAGTTCGTTTTGCCAATTTATGCATGTTTATGCAATAACAGTGTTAGTCCTTACTTAAATAAATGCTACATTTCAGATGTCTTGCATTGTGGGTGCTAATATTGTAAATTGCACTTTTCTATGCTAAGTCCACTGTTCCACTAAATTTTTTTTCAGTGTGTTAAATTGCACTTTTGTTCCACTAAATCCATGTTTCTTACAAAGCTAGATGGGCCCCAAAGCTCCTTGTGTGATAGAGACTAGATTTTTCTAATGCTAGTAAATTCCCAGTAAAGGATTATGATTTTCAGTTTTAAAACACGTACACTGTTAAGTGGTCTATATTTTATAGAGTGCAGATAATATTTTACAGCTTTTTGAGCAGAAAATGAACTTTTCTTATTACTGCAGTCCTTTTAGTTATTCATATATCACTAAACACTTGATCATTTTATTTAGGAATGGCTTCATAAACATTATCCTTATCCTAGGCAAGATAATGGTTGATTCCATAGGTGAAGATGGAAAATAAATGTCAGTGTGTGTCTCTTTTCACAGAGACCAGAGTTGCTATGACATAATTCCAGTATACAATGCAATGAAGAAGAAAGTGCTGTCTGACTCTGATGAGGTAAGTGGTTGTCTCTTAGATGCTGGCATTGATAGACTGGAGAAACGGGGCCACTGTCTCTGTCCAACAGGATACAAAAGTCCTGCTCACTGTAAGGGAGTGGGATGTACTTTTCTGTCAATCGGATACTTCTTTTTCTCAGTTGGGAAAGTGGATACAAATCCAGACTCCTCTCCTCCTTTGGTGCAGAGAGTTTTAACAGTTTACTGGGGAATTTGGGTGCCTCTTAGACTTCTGAGAGATTCTCAGAACTGATAGTCACATGAAACACTTCACAGAGGGGCAGGGATAGAACTGTAAATACTCACGCATAAGTGAACTGTAAAAGAATTCATCTACTCATATATGCTTATATTTTTTTAACCTTTTTGTGCGACTCATTATCTTGCTCAAAGGAAGAAGAGAAAGATACAAATGTGCCAGGAACTTCCACTAGAAAAAGAAAGGTAAGCTTTTTAGTTATTTTAATTATTTAATTATGTATAGTGCTATAAAAATTTAGAAATGCTTCTGTAAATAAAAATCTAAAACTGAAAATGTTTTTATTATTGTGTAATGTGGGCTTTCAGAAAGCTTTGAACTGTGACGCTGTTCAGTGTAAAAGCATTTCTACTGAGCTGTTCAGTGTCAAAGCATTTCTGTCTGTGCTGTGTTATGAATTTGTTAATTGGAATTTCTGTCCCACAGGGTACCTTTTCCATTAGATTTAGGAAAAAAAGCTAGTTTCCTTAATATATCCCAGGCAACGTTGTCATTTCAGGATCATCAGCCCAAGCGGCGCCTGCGTAACCGAGCTCAGTCCTACGACATTCAGTCGTGGAAGCAGCAGTGCCAGGAGCTGCTCAATCTCATCTTCCAGTGTGAGGACTCTGAGCCCTTCCGACAGCCGGTCGATCTCCTTGAATATCCCGTGAGTTTCTCAGAACAGGAAGGCTGCTTAGGTGCTGGGGTTGTTTTTTCACCTGTGACCATTTTTCCAACTCTTTTAGTTGAAACCTCAGGCAGCCGTACTGACAAAAGGTTTTTTCAGTGCTTGGCTGTCACCTGATGATAATGTTTATTGCCTTTTTAAAGTAATTTCAAAAGAAATTGTACTTCTGTGCTCTCCTAAATACTGTAGTTGCAGTGTGTTCTATACTCAGGGATATCTGTGTTGCTAATTACAGCTTTTGCAATTAAGATGTGTCTTTCCTTTTTTGAGTGAAAAATGGTCATATGAAACATGTTTTGCTGTGTAGCCTGGGGCAAATGTCATGGATCACTTTCCTCATTTCAGAAGTACAAAAACTGAAAGTATTTTTTTATATCACAGTCATCTAAGCTTGATGCAGAAAAAGAACCCACTGAAGAACTGTAGTGAACCATTAACTGTAGTAGCAATGGCTTTCCCAAATTTTGCGTTCTGCCTGGATGATTACACTGGAGTTCAGATAACCATAAGCAGCCATTTGTAACTACAGAATATTTTAACACAAAAGTCTTGTTGCCTTGGGTCATTTTTAGGCTAGTTTTACTTCAAGTAACAAAGCAAAGGTTTTGCATGCTCTCCTTCTAGCGTATCTTAAGTTTTTCTTTAAAATACCACTCTAAGATGATTAACTTGGGGGAAATTAATTGTCCCAGTTAGAGAAAAGAAATCCTTCTCTTTCAGAAAGCACTAGCAGCTCTGTTTTGACACTTCTACAGCCATTGGGCACCATAATTTCTGAAGTCACCTAAACTTTATGCTGTGGCCATCTACAAGTGGCCCTTTGTGTTTGAGATATTCAGATGAGCTGGTGAGGAGCACCTACCTAGGCTTGGTGTGAAACCTTCTGCTCCCTGGTGTCACAAAACTTTTCAGCAGGTAGAGGCACACACAGGTTCTGTTTGCTCTGATGGATTAACATTTTGATTAATTTTGGAATTTAAGCTTTTTGTTGTATGGATAGTCCACTTTCTCCCATAGTGCAGAAAAAAGTTCTGTCATTGGCTTGAACAGGGCCCTGTTTACGCCTGTGGAGTTTTCATTATTTTAACACTACTTTCCTGAATTGTCAGGTCTTCGTTTGAGAAGGTGCTCAGGTTTCAGCAGAGGTGTGCTAAGCCTCTGATTAGGTTCAAATACTCAAGCTTCATATTTTAAAGCTAATATGTGAAAACAATATTAGACTTAGTACCAAGTTTGAGCTCCTAAGCCCCACAGAAAGCTTGCAGTCACACTTTGATACCACGGTTATCTTCATGACAGTGTGTCAGTAATGTAATCCTGAGGGCACAAAAGTTTGAGCTCTGTATTACAGTAAATCTGTTTACAATATTAACTCTTCTGTCATTTAACTTCTAATCTTGACCCTGTTATGTCTGTAAGGAGTGATATTTTGTATGAGTAGAAAGGAACAAAATGTCTTCAGCAGTCTTCCATACCCATTTAAAGAGGGCAGTTGGTTCAAATGGGTTTATCAGGGGCATCCTAGTGAAAATCATGCGTTAAGACTTGGGAGGGGGAAAAAATTGTAATATGTTGCTTTGCTATTCCTTAACAGGATTATAGGGATATTATTGACACTCCTATGGATTTTGCTACTGTTAGAGAAACACTGGAAGCTGGCAACTATGAGTCACCGATGGAGTTATGTAAAGATGTGAGACTTATTTTCAGCAATTCCAAGGCCTATACACCAAGTAAAAGATCAAGGGTAAGACTTTATTTTCCTTTTTCTGTTGTTAGAAAGAACACCTTTGGATGTCATCTGTCTGGACTTCTGTAAGATCTTTGACTGGGTCCCCCCCCCACAGGCTTCTCTAAACTGGGGGAGATACAAATTTGATGAGTGAACTGTTAAGTCTATCCAGAGGGTAGTGATCAACAGCTTGATGTCCAGGTGGAGACCAGTGACAAATTGTGTCCTTCAAGGGTCCATACTGGGACCAGTGCTGTTTGATATCTTCATCAGTGACACAGACAGTGGGATTGGGTGCACCCTCAGCAAGTTTGCAGGTGACATCAAGCTGCGTGTTGCAGATGACATCTCTGAGGGACAGGATGACATTCAGAGAGGCATGGACAAGCTTGAGAAGTGGGCCTGTGTGAACCTCATTAGGTTCAGCAAGGCTTGGGGAAAGGTCCGGCACCTGGATCAGGGCAATCCCCATTATCGGTACATGCTGGGGAGGTGATGTGATTGCAAGCAGCCCTGTGGAGAAGGACTTGGGGGTACTGGCTGATGAAAAGCTGGACATGAGCCAACAATGTGTGCTTGCAGCCCAGAAAACAAAACACATCCTAGGCTGCATCACAAGAAGCGTGGCCAACAGATCGAGAGAGGCAATTCTGCTGCTTTAGTCTTCGTCTGCTCTGGTGTGACATCACCTGGAGTCCTGTGTCCAGCTCTGGAGTTCTCAGCACAAGAAGGACATGAACCTGTTGGAGTAGGGCCACAGAAATTACCAGAGAGAGGGCTGGAGCACCTCTCCTGTGAAGAAAGTTTGAGAGTTAGGGGTGTTCATCCTGAAGAGGAGAAGGCTCCAAGAAGACCTTATCGTGGCCTTTCAGTACTTAAAGGGAGCCTATAAAAAGATGACAGACTTTTTAGCAGGGCCTGTTACCACAGGACAAGGGGTGATGATTTTAAATGAGGGGAAATGTAGACTGAATACAAGGAAGACATTTCTCACAGTGAGAGTGGTGAAACACTGGAACAGTCTGTCCAAAGAGAGATGGTAGATGCCCCATCCCTGGAAGCATTTAAGGTCAGGTTGGACAGGGCTCAGAGCAACCTGATCTAGTTGAAGATGTCCCTGCTCACAGCAAGGGGGGTTGGATTAGATGATCTTTACAGGTCTCTTCCAACTCAAAACTTTCAAAGATTCTATGAATACTTGTATCTGAAAAATACAGGACAGAAAAACAAACTGTGTAATTGATTACTTCAGAAGTATTAATTATTTCTAATCTTCAAACGTGATTATTTCTGAGAAAGTTAGTATAGCTTTGTATTTTAAAGGAATAGAATGTATGCTGTTGAAATGCCTGAAGTTCTGATGTCCTGCAGATGTGTTTGGAAAGTAACTATTTCAAAGTGTCTCTAAAGGGAGAGACACATTGAAGGAAGGATCTACAGAATCATAGAAATACAATTGTTGGTACAGTAGTGGAACATAACTGATATTGGGGGGAATACACTAGATTTTTAAGAGACAACACAGAGAACCCCAAACTCCTCCTGTCTGGAGATTGCCCCAGACTGAAATATCCAGGGATAAAGAGTAGAGGGCAATGAAATTCTGTGCTGTTCACCAGGGTGCAGTGAGACTGCAACAAAGCACTGAGGATTTCTGGGGAACAACTGCTCACATAAAATAGGAGCCTACAAAGCCATTCTTACTGAGCTGGTACTGAAAAGCCCTGCCAGTGGTAGAGTTAATACTATTTTCTCTTAGATTGACTTGCAGGTGCAATATCTATTAGTGAAAGTTATAAATGTATGCTTAGGCATGCTCAAGGCTTCTGCATAGCTTTTCTTCTACTAATATGCTTTAGATATTAGGCTAGAATTATTGATAGCTTTGATCTTTGGCTGCTCTAAATAGCAAATTAATCATCAGGACTTCGTCTTAAAATGCAGGGGCAAATTCTGTAGTAGGTGACGAGGAAGGAGGACTGATCAGTGATGGATCTTTCTGCAGTCACTGCTAGACAGTCCCACTCACTGTTGGGCTGCCTAAGAGTCAGCTTCTTGTCTTTGGTTGCATCAAAGGCAGGGCCTTTGGGGCATGTCTGAATTCTCCTGTGGTTTTTCTTTTCTCTTCTTGATCTCTTCAAACCAAGACAAGAATGCTTGACATTATCTTAGCTCTGTGTTGTTTCATAGATTCTTCTGACATTTTCATTTCTTTTTTTTCATGTGTCTTCCAAGCTGACTGGCATAGTAGTAAACTTGTAGCTCTTTTTTATTTTAATTAGAAGTGGAAGATTCTGATGTCAGCAGTTTCAATATTCCAGAACCTACATACTTTCAATGCTTGCAACAAATGGTGGATGGTCCTTCCCAGTAATGCATGCAGAATCTGTCACACTGAGTTTAGCCTGGCACTCAGATATTTTGGGGTGTCATTAGGTAGGCAACTGTTTCTTACTGATTTTGTGTTTCATATTTGAAGGTGTCCTGCCTTCTCTTAAAGTATCTATACAGTTCACATGTGTTTTTTTTTTGTTTGTTTAAAATTAATAATTAATTATAATTACTAGGATAATTAATAGCAACTGTGCTGAAATGATAAGTTGTGCTCTAAACTGAGTGAGTTTGGGTCTCTGTGAATCATCCAAGTTGGGGAGGGCAGGGAAGAGAAAAATGTGCACTTACATAATTGTAATGTGTTTGTTGTGCCTGTTGTAACCAACTTGCTGGTATTACCAATTCATCCATAAGAGGAATAGACCAATGTTCAAATACAGGATGTAAGGATGCAAGTTAATACAGAAGAAGATTAGATTTCTTGACCCTAGGTATGATATAGTAAAATTCCATTAAGGATCTCCTCGTGGTTTCTGCTGAAGCTAGAAAGGGATGCATTCTGAAAAGGCAGTTGAAAAGAGACTGTTGAAAAGGTAGCTATTCTAATTTTTCCTTTTGCGTGTGATCTTTAGTTGTAATACACTGTTCAAAGCCACGCTTTGGAAAAGTATAAAACCTGCTTGTTTACTGGCATTTCTTTTTTAGATCTACAGCATGAGTTTGCGCCTTTCTGCTTTCTTTGAAGAACACATAAGTTCTATTTTATCAGATTATAAATCTGCCCTGCGCTTTCATAAAAGAAATACAATAAAGAAACGAAGGAAAAAAAGAAGTAGAAGCAGCTCAGTTTCCAGCAGTGTTGCATCCAGGTACATTAGTTCCTTTACAGTATTCATGAAATGCTGCCCAAGTTTGATGTACCTAAACAGTAGAACTTAGCGTGGCATTTTTCTTAATCCTCTCTTTGCTATTCCCTCCCTGTACGGCAGAGTGATAGCTCTGACATGCAAGGCCCCATGGAGTGGAGGAGTTTTAAACTTTACTTAGAGCTATCCTAGTGTAAGTGCTTAAAAATCAAATAACTGCTAAACGTGTACAGTAAAACAGTGTCATTAGGATAGTGGTGGCATCATGCTTTGTCACCTAACTATAGCATTTACTGTAAAGATTCTCTTTTAGGAGGCTCATGGCTACATGAATTTCCACAGTAAATGTCATATTTTTAACGTACTTCATACAGAGTCGATTGCTTTACTCCTGTGATCTCAGACACGAGCATTAAATTTTCTTTACTTCTGTAAAATAAAAAAGTGCTCATCCAGGAGACAAATAGTTGTTCCTTTTGCAGCCCTGAAAGGAAGAGGAGATTGATAAAGCCCCAGCTGAAGGCAGAAACTTCAGCCACCTCTTCGTTGTCTGCGCCTGCACGGGCCACAGCCCTGAGACACGCTCCGCCCCAGGTGAACGGGAAAGCGGCTGAAGCCTCTTCCCTTGTGCGGACGAGAAGCAACAGGGGGACACCAGACGTGGCTGTTCCAGAGCAACCATCTACTTCTTCAGGAGCAAAGCCTTTAACAATAAAGCCTTTAATTACAAAGCCTAATACTACTGCAGGGCCAGGAAAGTCAGGCAAGTTTTGTTGCTGTGTTCTTGTTTTGTTTTTTAAGCTCTTCTTAAACATTCTTGCTTTGTTTATTTGTAGTAGAGCATGATTTCCTTTACAGACAGATAAGATTGAATGTGATATAAATGACTTAACCTGAATTTTTTTTTTTTTTGTCTTTCTAGTACTGGAAAACTCAACCAAACATTCCAAGAACCAGAATGTTGTATCAATCCCTAGCCAATCTGATTACAGTCATAACACTAGGAATAACTCCACGAGAGAAAATCCAGAGAAAGAGAAGCAAATCAAGCGCAAAGTAAAATCTTCCACTGTTAATCAACAAGGTACTGAGTTTCTTTGGAGCTTTTTACCCCCTCCCAAGTTACTGATGTAGTTAGTGGCTGTAGCGTTGTAGCTGTGATAATTTAGGGGTAGGGAAATCAGTATGCATTGGTATGCATGATGAGTGGACTAGGGCAGCCTAATGGAACAACTCATTCATAGTTAGTTTCTGTCTTGATAAATGAGCATGGTTTTGACTACTCCTCACACCATTTCCATGGTATGATAACTGTTTCTAGCCAGTTTTGACATGCTAACTTATGTGTGCCTTCCATTTAAATTGTTGCAAGGGTCATGTTATGAGTTCTCAGATTCCAAAGCAGACTTCTGCAGGGTCACACTTTCCACCTTTCAGGTTTTACCTAACAAAACTTATGTGGGTTATATTTGAGTCAGCAATGCTGTGTGTGATGAGGTAACTCTCCACAGCCATGAGCATGAAGATCAGAGCATCCTAGCTGCAAGTTCATTCTTTCATTTTTTCCACAGCAAAATAGAACAATGCAGTGGTTGCTGCTTCTGGTTAGCATATCTGTATGGATTGACCAGACCTAGTTTCATGTAATCTTCGGACTGAACTTGCTTCGTCTTTTGATGTCTGGAAACCTTACAAATCAAAGCTGCTGTGGAGACTGAAATGAGATCTCCTAGACATAAAAGCTTTCCTGTTGATGAAGGAGCTTTGAACTGTTATGAAGCTGCTGTGAAGCAGCTAGATCCAGCAAGGACCTTTTCTCTGAAGAAACAGTAGTCTGCAAATTGGGCCCCACGTAATTAACCTAGTTATTCCTTGTAGTCCTCCTCTCCCCGAGGACTCTCTATTCTTTCTTACTCTTCCATGCTTCTGAAAAAGTAGCTGGTGGTCTGATAAGTTAAATCATCGGTCCATTCCTTGCAAGCTTTCTCACAAAGGCCTCTGCTGGTAGCACCCGTCATACAACTGGGTGTTTGGTTTTGTCGGAGGTATCTGAATGTTGTTGACATGATCCTTTCTCTCCTGCACATCCACTCGTGTGACAGTGAAGGCATGTGCTTTTAGTGCATGATGGGGCTTATTTGGACACAGCGGAGCAGTGCATGGGTCCTCCATCAGAGGACTGGATGAACTGTCTTGCGGGATATGAGTCTGTGCCTGGTCTCGTTTTAGGTAAGGGCTGTGGTATCAGGATATCTCCATTTGAGGTCTTGGGACGTGCCCCACTGAGGAAGTTGAGCACCACTCACCTAAGAAAAAGTCACAGCCCATAAGCCTCCAAGCAAATACCTTCTGCCACGTGTCTGTTAAAGAGGGAAAATCTCTGCAAATCACATACTTTTTTTTTTTTCCCCTCTTGTTTCTACTCTTTTCCTCACTTATTGTTGAAATAACCCTAGTCTGGGGTCTGAGATCACCACCTGTGAAGCATTCCTGATCCTTGCAGCAGTACTTCTTGAGAAACTTTTTGCTGTTGCAGATACCAAATGTCTGCTTTGGCCACTGGTGGTGTATCGGCCAGGAAAAACACTTGAGCTGTTCATTATTTTTTTCTTTTTTTCCCAGTTTTTCCCACCCTTTTTTTCCACTTCCCCCCCCCTTCTCCTTTTTTCATTTTTTCCTCCAAGCTACGTTGAGCTAAACCCAACTAGAAGTGAATCTTCATTGCATACTGGCATGAAGCTCTTTGAGCTCTACTTCGGGTTTCTTAGATTTTGACAGATTGACAGCCACCGTGAATCCATTCAGATATTTTAGTAAGAGTTTTATTAAGGCAGTGTGAAAGTGGAAGCAAACGCCAGTCTGTGATGTGCTCAGTGCTCTCCTTTCTTTGCAGCAGACTGCAGGAATAACGCTCTGGCATCGGGCAGCGTCCAGGTGAACGGCCACGGTGGGCAGCCTCCGAAGCCCCCTGTGAAAAGAGGTCCCGGAAGGAAACCCAAGGTGGAGTCCAATAACAGTAGCTGTGAAGTGGTGCACAAGAAGAGAGGCAGAAAACCAAAAAAGCTACAACTTGTTGAACAGCAAAAGGTTGCAGAGCCAAACACAATCCAGACTGCAAGGGACACGCCAGAAGAAGCCTCTGCTTCTACCGCATGCAATTCTCTTTCTGAAAATAATATGAAGGAAGACTTGTTACAAAAAAAAGGCCGTGGGGGTAGGAAGCCAAAAAGGAAGATAAAGACCCATCAACCAGGCTCGGACCTCTTAGCTCCTGTGAATGTTAAAATGCAGACAAGAAGCAGGAGGAAAAAGATAGATGAGCCTATGGAGGAGGGGTCTGAAGAGCTTAAAGATTCTTCTGAACCTCACATGAGAACTAGAAACCAGGGTAGGAGGACAGCCTTTTACAATGAAGATGACTCTGAGGAAGAGCAAAGGCAGCTATTGTTTGAAGACACCTCCTTAACTTTTGGAACATCTAGCAGAGGCAGAGTCCGAAAGTTGACTGAGAAAGCAAAGGCTAATTTAATTGGTTGGTAATTTTTACCAAGGGTTTTACTTCAGAATGCTATGAAGCAGGTACAGTTAAGGAACAGCAGAACAGACTTCTGCTTCCCTGCTGCTATTATGGGTTAGAAGAATATGTTCTGGTCTGGGGAGAAAAATTTAGCAAAAAATAAACTGAAAGAACATTCTTTGAAAGAAATATATATTTTAAACTTTTGCTATTTATTGCCCTCCGAATAGGTTATGCATTTCAACAGTCATTTTGTTCACATTTGAGAGTAAATGAAGCAATTTCTGATGGACGTGCAGAATTGGGAACTACTCTGCCTGGGTAGTGCGTAGTATCTCTGCACAGTTTTAAAAGAGCGATAGAACTCGTAATGCCACAAGCTGAAAACAGAAGTCTGTTTTTGACCAAGCAAGGTACACTTTGGGTGTAAAGTCACGTTGCCTAGGAAGGCAGGTTTGGGCAAAAAGTGGCAGTAAATTCACTTACGTTTCTATTGAATACAGAAATACCAAACTTTGCTAATCTGAAAATGGTTCATTTCAGTTGTGATGCAACGTTCAGCTGCAAAAGACGCCTAGCACAGGCTGTGGGTTTATCCAAGTTCTGCCAAACATAGCAAAAATGTAATCACAAATATATATATATATATATCCACATTGGAAAAAGTTTGACTAATGTCTAATTTTTCAGACCTTGATTCTTGTATCAATCACTAAATCTCTGTTTATTGTGCCAAAGACTGAGAATCAGTGCAGTGGAAAAGCCTTTTTTTCTTTCTGAGTGTCAGTACAGCATACCATTTGCAGTGATAAAAGCTGTGTATTGTTTTTAAATAGTAGGTTGTTAACATTGTTCTGAAATGTATCCTTTTTGGTACTTTTGGTAGGAAATAATGCACTGGTGGGGTCCTTTGACAGAGATGTTTTAGACAAAATGTATAATTGGTTAAAGGATTCAAGGAAATTACAGGACAGGTATGGAATTACGATGTTTACTTTCTGATCCAGATTGATTGTTTCTACAGCTTCAGACATGCTTGAGAGGCTAAAATGACCTACAAAGAAGAGTGTATGTGTATATATTAATATATACATGAACACATACATATAAAATGTTACCCAGGTATAAATTTTTTTCAGGATTTTTTAGATAGCACTAGAATTAAAAATAAATTTTAAAATGTCATACTTTATAGTTTAATTTTAAGGGGAAGATTGGTTATTTTCAATGATTAAGGTTAAAAGGCCAAATCACTTTTTATGCAATCATGTTTTATACAGTGGTCTCATTGCACATTGTGTTTTTCTGCACTTTTTATGGTATATCACGCTGACATAAGTCAATATACACCCGAAAGAAAAATTCCATTTAATGATTGTGCCTTGTATTCTATTATTTCTTGCATCCTTAGTAAAATTAAGTTGTCTATTGTAAATGATAACTATATGACTTAAGGGAATGTATTGTTATATGTACTGCTCTGGAAAAGAAAAGCAGTTATTTATTTGTTTATGGTACATTTAGTTATTTTATACCTTTACAAACAAACTTTAATACCATTTTCTATCACTTAAAAAAATATTGTCCAGTTTTAAGGAGAAAAAATAGAGAAGTAGTCATATTTTCTGAGATCTGGTATGGTACAAAAATGTAACCAAAATTTTCTGGTTATACATTATTTTGGAAGTTTGAGTAGTATGAAAGAATTTTTTTTTTTTTTTTTTTTGGACGTGTGTGTGACCCTAACACTTAGTTGACAAAATAAACCTGAAATGAAACCTCAATTCTGTACACCCTTACTTAACAGTTTGGGGTTTTTTTGCAAACATCATCTGCAATATCTGGATGAAGGGCATACAGAATTAAGACCTTTAAATTTGCACACATTCTGTACATCTGTTTGAGGCCTGATTCTTCGCTCCTTATTTTCTGGGGTTTTTTTGGTTTTGTTTTTTTTTTTTTTTAAAAAACATAAATGTTTGAATAAAGAACAGGTATCTGGCACCAAGGGAAATAGAAATATGCTACTGTTGGTAGCAAATTGGTATCCACCATACCTAATTTTATGTAGTTCATTCTGCATTTTGCTACAAAAAATAACTGAAATATTTTCCAGATCCTTTTTGGATTGTTACGGATATGAATTTGGGGTGCAGGGGTTAGTTTGCATTTTGTTTGTTGGTATATTTACTTTTCCTAGCAGGTATTTCTTTATAAGTTCAGTGAAAATGGAGTCACTAAACGTGTGGTAGGATACCAAGCCGTGGCTGTGAGCTTGCAGTACAGCTTCACAGTTCAAAGCCAACCAATTCTCCCTGTTAATTTTGTCAGATTTCACAGATGAAGGCAATCATTTGAAACTATGTAATTTCCTGATGTTATCTGCATTGTAATATATGAAATAGATTATATCTAAAATTCCGCTTCTGTATTTACTCCATTTGTAATAATGTTTTATATGGCATGTTTATGTATATATTTATATCTCAAAAATACCTTGTATGTAAGTTTCGGAGACTGACATAATATGCGTTCCCTTAAGGGTAGAAAACTGTACATCTTAATTTTAGGAGACTAGAAGGCCTTACCTGCAGAACATGGGTACTGCTTCCCACCCACTAATATCGGTGACTTTAGCCAGTAATTTTTTAATTCATATTAGACACATTAATTTTGTTTTTCCTTTTAAAATGAATTGTGGATAATTTGGGTGAGTTTTTTAATAGAAACAACGCTAAGTTTATTAGAAATTAATACCAGATTTATTTAGAAGTTATATTTTTATAATTTAATTTCACTAGGTTGCTAACTTTATTTATGATACTTCAGTCACCATCAGACTGTGCATTTTTGTCGGGGAAAACTGTATTATTTGAGGCTGTCGTGACATACTGTATCAACACAGAAAAAGAGCTTTTGATTTCAAAGTCTTAAGTTTTTAACTGTGAGCAATAAACTGTTGGTCAGTGTCCTGAAATAATTTAAGAACTATAATTATATGCATGTTTTATAATGCCAACTCGAGTACCTAACAACAACCGGTTCAGAAAATGGAGTATCAAAACCTCACGTGCTTGTTTCACATTTGCATTGTAAATAACATAGGTTCATAGTCATATACTTGCAAAGGATCTTGCAGACCTGGCAGCAATTAACGCCGTTTTATTCATTAAATTAATTTATATTTGACACGGATATGAGGATGCTGTTCAGGTATTTCTGCTCTAGACTGGGAAACGTTAAAATTGGTGTTTACGGCCAAGTGGTATCTCAGTGACCATGTGTGCTCGAACGACCGATGAGGAGATAACTCCTGTGTGTGGCACCAGTGTGCTCTCAGTGTTTAACAGAATCATTGTGCCTGTGCCTACATGCTCCACAGCTCGTTAGCCATTTCACTTCTCTCGTTATTGTGTTCTCTAGGAACTGAACTCAAATTTTCCCACTGCTAGTGTTCATGATTGTCAATATTGAACTAGAGCTCTGTGTCGATCAGCAGTGGCCAGTGATACAACTTTACAGAACAATGTCTTCCTCCAGTGATGAGACTGCTGTGATATAGAGTTACAATGTTTATTTGTACAGTGTCGGGTTTGTACACGTGATCAGTTTGTTGATAGACTTGTAAGATTGAGTTGGTTGAGTTAAATATTACTATGGCTTAATATTTGTAAAACTATTAATTGATAAAGGACCCTGATGCAGCACGTAGGATATAGTAATATCTATTAAAAAAATAAATTATAGTGTAGAGACAACTTACTCACTGTATTTGCTGTACAAATATTTTTCAAGCACCATTTCTGATTCTGTGCCATAGGCTTTTGTCGTACCCAAAAGACTACATATAACACAAAAAAATAGTCTCTCCCTTTGGTAACTTCAAGCTTGTTACAGTTTTTATGCCACATTGTTAAATCTCTTGCTCGCATTTGTTGGATCGAGGACTATAAGGAGATGCTTTAGCGTGTAATTTGAATTTAGGCACATGTTAAATGGTTGACTGATTCTAAAAAAGCAATAGGCTTAACTGGACAGGACCCTTTCACCCTGCACTTGCATAGCAGATCGGAGGTCAGAGGTTTTTAAGCTCACTTTCATCAACATTTGCATTTAATTTGAATCATGGGGACATTGCTGAGGTAATTTTAATGTATTGCTGGTCAATCAAGATACAGCCATACCACAATAACTGCACTGTGTCTTGAGTCCTTACCTTATCTCTAAAGTAGCATGTTTTGTCTGCAGTAGTTTATCAAAAGTTTTTCTTTTTGCCTCTTTTTTTTTTTTTTTTTAAAAAGAGTTTGAGTGTTTAACTGGATTTTAAATACAACTCCGCACCAGTGCTGTGATACAAAAGGTAGAGGGCTTTAAACCTCACCTAGAAATAGCAAAAGCTCATTTTCTGTTTACTACCTAATGAAGACAAATTAACTGTGTAAAATTATATATATAGTTTCTTTTATCCCTGGAAGTTCTTGTAACAGATTGGTTTCCAAGGGGACCTAGATATTGAACTGATAAAAGGGCTGTTAGTTATCTGCTGTAAATTCTTGTATATACGTGCCAATTGATATACAGAGGGAAGTGTATTAAATTTCATTAAATTGGCCAAGGCTTGACAAGGTGTTTCCAGTAACAAATCGGGTATTGACAGCTGCTGTAGTTTCCTGTCCCTGAACCAGGAGTACAGCTTGTAGACTCCTGCTGTGCCTGGGGGAAACAACAGGTAGCTTTTAAACCGGGGCTAACCTTGAGGTGCTCTTGCATTTGGGCAGATTTTGATGTGGGAATTCACCATGTCATTTGTACACCATGTTAGAGGAGGCAACACACCAGGAACTCCAGATTAAAAGACATATTAAGTTGCAGAAAAAGGCAATTGGCGCTTCCCCTTCCCCCCCCCCCACTTTTCCCAAGGTTATAACAGCCTCAAGGAACTCTAGAGAGAAAACTTATATGCTGCAATAAAATGAAGGTTGAATAAAGTTAGCTTTTAGGTGTTAGGTAGCAAGGCCAATAG